GTGAGAGTTTTAAGCTGAAAGGTTTTAATTTGATCTCCTTGACGCCAAAGTATACGCTGATATATTTGATCGTTCTCATGCAGTAGTATCTGCCGATACATTTTCTCGATGTCCGCTGTAAGAACGTATTTATAGGTGCGAAATCTGAGTAAATGCACGAATAGATTGTCTTGTATCGTGGATCCTACCAATAATATGTCATTTAATGATGTACCATTATTTGTTTTATCAGCAAAAGCTGACGCGTCGAATACTACGCGGACTTTGATGGTGTTGCTTGCGGCCTTTATTACTGCGTGATGCGGCATGTAAAATCCGTTGTCGTGTGGTTCGTTTATCAGAGACATGTGATCTAGATCTATGTATTCTTGTATGATTTGTGAATAGACGGTCTTCAATTCCGGGTCAGATTTGAGTTTTCGTTCGAGAGAATGTAATCGTTTGAGAGCGATAGAGCGCGATTCACCGAGCCGATTATTTCCTTCGCGGAATGGCAGTTGGACTACATAACGTCCATTGTTGTTTCGAGTAACGTTTTTTATGAAATGTGTTTCACAATCAAGTTCGTCTGTGGATCTAGTTTTATCTGTTGTTATTTCCTCGATTGTCCAACATTTAGTGATTTGTTGTTCTAAATTAGTCAACGAGCATATGTTGATTTTTTTATAAAATGACGCGCTTTCGCCTGCTACGACCCAACCAAACCGTGTTTTTTGTAAATACAAATCATGGTCCTTATGAGATAGATTTATTTGACCTATTGAAAATAATGATAATGTTGCTCTAGCACCGATCAATAGATCGACCAAACGCGATACGTGGAACTCTGGATCGGCTAATTTGATATTAGATGGTATTTTGACGGAATCTCGCGGAAATATTTTGGACGGAACGAAATCTGATATTGTTGGAATCGATAGAGCTGTTAATTTTTTTCTGAATTCATTGTGCAATGATTGAATGGTTGAATTGGACAACACCTTTTGATATTGTATTCATAGAATTAATTGTGTCGATCGGTAAGGCGCATGAAGTAACAGAAAGTCTTAATTCTCTCACTAATCGTTCAGAAATAAAGTTAGCTGTAGCGCATGTGTCTAGTAGTGCTCGACATTTTACTAAATGGCATTCGCAATTCCGTACAAATACCGTGGCGGTCGTCATTAATTGAGGTATAAACGCGGGTGAGATCGTAGCAAGACAGATTGTATTATCGCTCGATATCTCTGCTAGTCATTTAGATTTTTCAGTTTTCGTTTCAGTAGCGTCAGTTTTTGTTGTTGTAACTGGATGTCTATCAAGATGTAAGAGGGTGTTATGCCATCTTTGACATATGGTACAAGTAGTATAAACACAGGGAACGCCTCTATGGGAACGCATACAATTGAAACAGAGCTTTGCGTTTTTTATGACCTCGATGCGTTCGGGTACACTCATTTTTTTGAATTTGTCGCACTTAAATAACTGATGTTGTTTAACCTTGCAAACTACGCAATTGTTAGCCGCGTTAACTATAAATGTTTTATTAGACGTTCGCCTCTTTTTTGCCAAAGACGATTTCTTGTTATCTTCCCGTTTGAAAGCTTCTGTTCGACTACGTTTCGAAACTCGAACTGCAGTTTTATATAGATATTCGTATAACTCGTCGATTTTCGGAAATTCGTCTCGGCTAAGCGACTCTTCCTATTTTTCTGCGATGTTTCTAGGTAATTTACTCTCTAATAAGTTTACGAGTATTTCAGACCCGACGTTAATTCCCAACGCAGCCAGCGATGCAACGTGTTGCTGTGCATCGTCGGCGAGTCTTGACAGACCGTCTGTCGTTTTCCTTTCTAAAGTAGGCAGATTTAATAGTGACGATAAATGTCGTGAAATTAAGATTCGTTTGACTTCATATGCACGTTTCAAAAGTTCCCACGTTTTGGCGTTGTCCCACGTAATGTCCCACGTAATTCGAGCCTATAATTGATAGAATTTTTATTTTATTAGCGGCTTCACCCGTTAATGCTGATTGCAAATATTGCAGTTTTTCTATATCAGATAAATCTGTGCGGATATCTATCATTGCGAGAAAGGTATTTTTTAAATGATAGCCAGTTCTCGTATCGACCATTGAAATTAGGTAAAGAGACTTCTGGCAATTTTATTCGTGGTCTCGTGACGACGATGACATTCGCGTTGTTATGTTGAATTGTGTCATTAGATGAACCAGCTACCGCGTTAGAAGGACCAGCGACCGCATTAGAAGTATTAGAACTTGTTAGTTCTTCGATTTTGCCAGCGAGCAAATAGTATCTTTCTTGTATGCGTGCGAATTCATCAGTATGGCTATCACTCGGATCTAGTAATATAAGTTCGTCATTGTATTCTTCGTAAGCATGATAAAGTTCAGTAACACGTATAATGCGTAATTTTAGCGCGGATTTATCATATCGACCCTTTTGTAATAACTTCGATAAATTAAATATTTGTGCCTTTAAAGATGTTCGTTTCTGTATCAAAAGTTTAGCTTTATCGGCCATTGTATGCCCTTTTTAAATGATAAGGGATGAAAGAAATCGCTTGATCGACAATCAAATAAATACGTCGAATGTACTTGCCGTTAGCCTTTATATTTCGTCGTATAGTCTGTCCTTCAGCTTCGCTTTCTGTTGTCGTTCATCTAGTGGTCGAGGAAACTGCTGCTCGTCAGCTTCCCGATCGTCCAATGGTCGAGGAACTGCTGCTTGTCCCCGATCGTCCAGTGGTCGAGGAAACTGCTGCTTGTCAGTCTCTCGACCTCACAGGAGGCACCATGTCGAATCGTGATTTTTATACAAAGAATTTCACTCAATGTATTAGTTTCGTATCTATGTTTATTTGTTATTATGTTATATATTTCGTACAAATAGTACTGTAGGTTTCAAAGGATTCGACCTCGTATGTATCTCGGCTTATTACAAAGTCGCGATATTATACAGATTTGATCTTCGTGAATTAATCTCGCTGCTTATATAGCATCTTGCGGTGGTAGAAGAGAACCAATCAAAAAGAAATATACTTTAAGTAACCAATCTAAATGGTCATAATCTTATGTGACGCGGTTATCGGACATGTTGGTTGTTTGTTGTCTTAGGTCGGCGAAGCCTTTGTCGCATGCCGACTGAGGTCGGCGAAACTTTTTTCGTGGGCCCACGCGTGTTTTTATCGCAACTAATATTTAATGTCGCAACATAATATTTACTTTATTATAAAATATGTTAATAATAAATATTAGTTTTAATGCAATATATTTAATGAAAAAATTGTTTATTAACTTTGTAGATTGGCTTAGTAGATCTCTTAACATCTATAGAGATTATTCCGGATTTCATAGTTGGTCATTTTGCTGGTGAACTTGCTTACGCAGACGGATGTCTGACTATGGAACAAACTATTCTGTCAGCGTACTTTATTGGTTTAGCATGTGTGAAAGAGAAACTAGTTCATAGCTCTATCGCAGTTGTCAATTATGATTACAATTCTCTTAAAGATATATGTCCAGCAGATATTGAAGTAATATGCAAAAACAACCAAAACAGCAATATTGTAACAGGCCCCGCTAAATCCATACAAGAATTTTTGCAAAAATTGCAGGCATGTTGATTTTTTACCATATTCAAACTATAAATTTTTTATTATTAATACATAATGCACGTAGTGTTTTTCTTAATAGTCGAGTATAAATACAATTTTATTTTCAATTTGTCGTGTTAACTAATATATATTAATTGCTTTTTTTTAGAACAACAACATTGACGTAAAAGCAATTTACTTCAATAACATGCCGCATCACAGTCGTTACCTCGCTTCTCTGAAATCGCAATTTTTTACAAATTTAAACAAAATAATTTCACAGCCAAAAGAAAGGAGTCCCAAATGGATCAGCACCTCCGTACCTCGCAAGGAATGGTCCAATCCAGCATCAAAATTATGCTCAGCAAGTTACCATACGCATAGTATATTAAACATCGTTTTGTTTGATCAAACAACGCATATGGTACCAAACGACGCTGTAATTATCGAAATTGCACCAAATAGCATTTTACAGAACATTTTGAAAGAATCGGTACATTCCAAAGTAACGAACATTGTACTGACAAAACGAAATGAACCAAATACTATCAATTTACTATTGCAAGGGATTGGAGAACTCTACAACTGTGGCCTCCAACCGCGGATTGCTAATTTGTATTCACTGGTGAATTTTCCAGTTAACCGAGGTACTCCTATGATCTCTCCATCTATAAGGTACAATATATTATTAAAATTAATATAAATATTGCATATATAAATAAACACATAATTGCATAAACAAACGTTTTCATACTATCAGATGGAAACATGCTGAAGATTGGTTTGTACATGATTATCAAAATCAAAAATACATGAAATTCAGAGGCAAACAAGTAGAAATCATGACGGATAACGAAGATTATGGCTATATGACCGGTCACATCATTGACGGAAGAAATTTGCTACCAGCGACAGGCTATCTAGTGCTTGTTTTGGGAACCATTGGAATGATGAAGGATAAAAATACAAAACATCAATACCAGTAGTATTTCAAAATATAAAATTTATTCGGGCTACTCATTTATTAAACGATGGCCTTGTTAATTTGACAATTGTGATACAGAGAAGTATGTATAAAATTTTATTCTTTAAAAAAAAAACTTTAAACAATATTATAACAACATGTAGCATTCGATGCAAAATTATTGTAGAAAGCGGCAAATTTGAAGTCACCGAAGAAGACAGCGTTGTTGTAACAGGTGAAGTACACGCTGTATCAAATGCCGAACAAGAAATGGTGCCGAATGATCTGTTGTCGGTAGATACTGACGAGGAAGAACATATGACTTCTCGAGACATTTACAAGGAATTAAGGCTACGCGGTTACCAATACAGTGGTGCATTTTGTGGCTTATATAGCGCATCAGTCTCAGGCAGCAAAGGACACATCACTTGGACAGGTAATTGGGTGACATTCATGGACAACATGCTGCAGATTTCTATAATTGGAAAAGATACCAGAGACTTATATATTCCAACAAGTATTGAAAAATTGGTAATTAATCCTGCACTTCACGCATCAAAATTGCGGGACATGACATCCGAAAAAGATAAACGTAAGTATCTTACATACAATTAAATAACTATTAAAAC